GTTCCCGTTACGTGAGCCCCCCCCCCCCAGCCGAGCTATGGAAAGCGTGGGCAGGCTTAGACCAGGGCTACTCCCTTAGACCAGGGCTAGCCCCGCGGAGGGGCTCAGGAGGGGGGACTCTGCCGATCTGCACTTAGGGCTTTCTGGGCAGTGTCCCGTGGAGACGGTCCGTAGCTCACGTTGGCTTCACAGAGGGGCCTGGGGCCCACAAATAATTAGAACCGCTTCCATGGGGGCTCCTGGGTGAGGCGGACACACAAGCTCTTGCCAGACGGTGCGTCCCCACACGTCCCGAGAAGACAGTCTCGTAACGGAGAGGTTACGACCGGGAGGGCTGGTTTGTCAAGATCAGAGCTCCGGTGAGGGAGTAGCAGCTCTACCTCCCTCAGAAAACAAAAGGAGACCCTGCTGATTCCTAGGAGATAAGGGGATTAGCAAGTCTTCAAACAGGTGCCTCGGGAGCCTCGGGGACAGACTGGCTCAAGCACGGAAGAGAAAGGATGATGTCAGGTGCCGTGTGTGGCTCTGGGGGAGCCGGTGGCACCCCCCCCACCGGTGGCGCCGCACACCCAAATGTGTCTCGTGATGCCGTTAGGTCCGCGTGTCTGAAGAAAGAAGGGCTTCATCTCTACGGCCCCGTCTACGCGGGGTGGCCTCTGTCAGAGAGACACCTGCCTTGGTTGCGAACAGTCCGTTCCTGCTGACGGCTGGCGAGCCGGGCTGAGGCGCGCAGGTTCTGGGGACGCGTCCTGCTTACCCCGACGAGCGCACAGGCAGCCAGCCCCTTTGGCGAGGCGGAGACCCAAGCGGCATGGGGGTGCCCCGTGTTCGAAGCTGGCGTCCGCCCTGCCAGCGGCAGGCACCCAGGAGGAGCCCCAGGGCAGCTAGGACGTGCTCCCCGGGAAGGCCAGGGGCCGCTCCAGCCCCAGCCACGTCGTCAGTTCTCGGAAAGCATTCTCTGCCTTAAGTTCTCAATCGCATCATCATTTTTTGAAGTTTATTTATTTTGTGTGTGTGTGTGTGTGTGTGTGTGTGTG